TAGAAATCTATTTAGAGTCAGTGAAATAATATTCATATTTTGTTTCATAGTTAGTTGAGTATCAGAATTGGTGTATCCAAATAAAATGTGACCAGAAAAACTACTCTCAAGCACATCTGAAAAATAAGCCAAAGTTTTCAGTTCAGTCTACACGTGGTAGTAAAGATTTGATTTGTCTGTCCGCATTAAATATATTGAAAGAAGAAGAATCTCTTTCACTACATGCTTCTAAAAGGATGTGTGCATTACAAGATCACAGTATGCAGTTCTTTATAGACATACTACTACATACTACTTGGGGAGTGATAACTTCATTTAATTCCATCATTGAGTGTATTTTACTTCATTAAAAGGTAATGAAGGTAAAACTGCAACTGAAAGCAGCTACAGCAGACTTGGGACCACATTTAGTCATTCCCTGCAGTAAAGCTCACTGCATATGACATTAAATATAGCTTTTATTGTGGTGATACGGAGTTTTATGGAGCGATTTTTGTCAGTATTCTGGTTATGTTTGCACTGATTTATTTTGGTTTACATGAATGTTTATTTGCACTTTAACACTGGACAGAATTTGTGAATAAAGTTGCAAAAAAAATAAATAAACCCAAACAGTTTCTTCCAAGCAATGTGTGGAAATGGGAATTAAAGATCTGAGAAAGATCTAACAGCTCTTAAAAGTTCAGATCTTATTACAATACTCACATGTCCATTATGTACATTGAAAGAGTTCCTGCTCACCATACTGTGGCCGTGAAACTATGTCTTCATAAAGCGACTCCAGTGAAAGAAATGTGGGATAAAAACCGACGTCCTCGTCCGCACAAAAAGGCTTTTAAAAGTTTAGCCAGAGTTATAATGAGGCTTCAGGAGTCTGAGTAGCCGAATCAAGTGTGTGTCTTTCAAAGTTTACATTTTAAGTGTGACTTACACTCTTTGTGTTTTGCTAAATGTAGACAGTAGTAGTAGTAGACAGTAACAAAAAGAGGGAGATTTGTACTTAAAAGACTGGAATATACTAACTACAGCATCATATACCTTTAGCTGAACTTTTAGTTAGCTAGCTGAACTGGATTGTGTCTGCTATTTCTCTCAGTAGAGTCACAAAGAAGTAATTACTTCACTTTATGACCACGATGGACAAGAAAATGAGGAGCCACTATTCAGCCTACAACCATTTAACAAAAGACCTGTCTGTAATAATAGGGCTCAAACACTTGCCTCTCGCTGTTATATGTGTTCTCTTCAACCAGCTTCGGTTAGCAGGTTTCCCCCCTCAGCTGAACAGAGCTTTGTAGGAACATCCTTCTGTGTACATTGTTTTAAACGGTGGCTGTGTTTGGCATTCAGTAACTCTGTCTCTGTGCTCCACCAGCCGCCCAGATGTCGCCCTCCTCTGGTTCCTCATCCCTCTCAAAGCTGCGAAGCACCTTCTGTGCGACCAGTACAGGTGGCTGACCATCAAGATTGTCACTGCTCTCCTGCTGCTCGCCATCTTGGGTCTTTTCCTCTACAACATGCCTGGTTACATGGTGAAGAAAATGTTGGGGGCCTGAGCTAAAACCAGCGGATGTTAACTTTTGTTTTCAAAGGGTGTGTTGTTTTGTGAGGGTTTTGCTATTTACCAATTTGACAAAATAATAAGAGCACTATTACAATAGCGGTACTAACAATGAAACTTGAGTGCATCCATCAAACATATTGCTACTGTTGGTGTGATAACTAAGCCGTTTTTCTTGTTTCTTGAAATGTGGGTTTATTTATTTCCATTCAGTGTTCCACGATTTCTCACCTATAAAAACACAACTATGAAAACACAAGCAGTTAAAAATATTAAAGGTTTTACCGATTTAAAAAACATGAGCATTTTTAGCATTGTTAGCTTGTATTGGAGTTCAAATTTTCTTGCTTGTTTTGTCCTATTTATTTGTCTATGTATGATATTTCAAATTTGTGCATAAATTGACCTCTGAACCATCTTCCCAGTAGTCCTGTCGTCTGTTTACATGTCCTTGTTTGTGTGGTATGTGTTATTATTTGTTACGTATGTATTATTCAGTTCCTCGAGGATTTCGAAGGCTTATTTTGGGATCCTTGCGGCCTGAAATGCCTGATTTCACAGCAGCTTTTCTAAAAGATTGCAATGTATTTCGATGCACTTTTCTGCTATGAAATTGCGTGAGAAAATCAACATTTTAATACTTTTTAAATATTTCATTAAAAATCAAAGACAACTTGTTCCAGTGGTAATAAAATCACCGGTACTTTGGTGACATATGGCTCAACGTTTTGCACAGGAGACTGCTATGATTGATTGAAAGTCGCGGAAAGGTTGACGCGATTGCGCAAAATTGCAAAGTCACGCAGAATTCCCAGGGAATTGTCGCAACAGTGCAACTCCCTGGAGGGACTGATAGTTATTATTTTATCTGTAAGTATAAGGCTTAAACTCATCACTCGGTCTATCGTATGGGTTTCAGATCATACAATCGAGCATCAGTAAGCTTCCTTTTTATGAAAACTTACCCAAAGTAAAAGTACTAAATAGCTACAACTCAAACAATTACTTAAGATACATCACTGTGAAATGACTGCAACCATTTCGATATATAAAAATACACCCAACTAACCAATCCCTTTCCAGTGATGCTCTTCAAAGTTAGGATCATCCTTTCTTCAAAAGTCTGAAGGTAAAGTGTCAAAAAGGTTTAGGTTTAGATTTAGTCATAAACCACCATTGCAACAGACCATTCTGGCTCTTGTTATTCCAAATTTAGTTGAGTATATTGTGTCATCAAAACCCAGTGAAAGCAAAATTAGTAACCTTCAAACGTGGCTGAGAGTAAGTGAATTCTCTCAGGTTGTGTACTTTGTTACCACTCAATGACACATACGTTGTATTTGGTGTGATATTTCTAATGGTTTGTCTCTGTGCTCCACCAGCCGTCCAGACATCGCCCTCCTCTGGTTCCTCATCCCGTTCAAAGCTGCGAAACACCTGGTGTGCGACCAGTACAGGTGGCTGACCATCAAGATTCTCAGTGTTCTCATGCTGCTCGCCATCTTGGGTCTTT